TCTCCCTTTTCTTGTCTGCTCTCGCCACATTTAGGGGTCGTCTCTCACTCTTTCTCACTCTTTCACTTTCCCTCTTTGCACCCGTCCGTCCACACGTCCATCATGCTGTCTATCCGCCTTCTCACCTCCCTCTCTCTGCCCGTCTCCCTGCCTCGATCCATCCATCTGTCTCCCCCCGCCTCCCTCTCCCAGCCTGTCGATCTGTCACTCAGCCCTCCCGCCCGTCTCCCTCTCTGTCCGTCTGCCTCTCTTTGGGTTTTTGCCGCGGGGCCTCTCTGTCAGGATTACAGGACGTCAGGTTGGCCAACATGAACGGCGGTGGTGGGGAAACAAAATGTTCCTCTCAGCACAAAGCCGCTCTAATCCGCTCCCCTCATCCCCCACAGCACAGCCTGATTACAGGAAGGCAAGCATTAGGACAGACAGACAGGCCGAAAGATCGACAGACGGACTGGCAGGTTGGCAGGGTTTAAGCCAGGCCGATATTTGTATCTGGCTGGTTAACACACTGATTACTTTGTTGGCCGACTGCCTAATTGGTCTGCTAACTGGCTAACTGCCGCTTCAGCTTACCTGGCTGGAAACGAGCCAGGTAATTAGTCTGGGTGATTAACTCGGTGAAAGCCTGGCTGACTGTCTGCCCGCGTGATTTACTGACTTGTTAACTCAGTGACTGATTTAGTGGCTTGCAGTCAAGCTTGGTAGTAAACAGTCTGTATAAACCGACCCATTTCGTTTGGACAGTCGTAAAAGTCTCCGTGTGTCCCCCCGATCGCACCAGCAACCACTGGATTACGTGGAAGTTAATTTACGAACAGTAAACCTCACACTGTACAACTGAAGGATGAAATGCCAACAAAATGCCCCAAACTGGGTAAAAATATTAGATTTCACTAAGCCTAGGGATTATTTTAGCATCCCAAAATAATCTACAGTGGCTTGGAAGGGCCATAGACAGAACACCCAATTGTCCCCAATGCATCCATCAGTGTATATGTGTGTTTGTGATAGATTACATGCTGCACTAATGGGCATGTTTTTGTAGCATCGGGTACCTTGAGTGGTCAATAAGACCAGAATAAATGAACATGAAATATATTTACCATTTCTGACTCGATACTGTTAGAAAGCTAAGCTTTACCATCTCTGAGATCAAAGAAGAACGTCTTACCTCACTTAATACCTAGCTGTTAGCTTTCTACCACTAGCTTAAGGAGGCAGATGACAATGAAAGCTATATGTTAACAAGCTACTGTAGTTAGCTTGTACGCATTAACAAGCTACTGTAGTTAGCTTGTATGCATTAACAAGCTAACTACAGTAGCTTGTTAATGCGTACAAGCTACTGTAGTTAGCTAACTACTGTATAAGCTAACTACAGTAGCTTGTTAATGCGTACAAGCAAACTACAGTAGCTTGTTAATGCGTACAA